CCTTCATGGACAATATGCAGCTGTTGAAAATTCGAAACGTCTTCAAATTGGTTTTTTACCCATGCCGCATCCCAGCAGTGGGACGCAATGTCCCACGCGGCAAAAAAGGTGCGTCCCAGCAGTGGGACGCAATGTCGCCAACGTGTTAATACATTATGCCCATCACGCCTAAACGAAAGAGATCACTAGTGAAAACTGACCTTGCCAGTGGTTACCGGTTCGTTGATGTACTGCGTACTCATCACCGACGCAAAACCTACCTCATAAAAACTTAACGTCACAGAATGCTGAGCTATATTTTCAGAGGTAAGCGCTCGGATAATACGAAAGAAGAAACACGTGGGAATAAAAATTGAACTGTTTATTAAAAGTAAAGAGATGCACATCAACACATAACAGAATTAAGACACGAGAACTACAAGTTATCTCATAGTGCTCACCTAACTAAGGTAACGAGATAACCCTCAAGACTAGGCAAGTTCTACCGGGACCAATACTGACACCAGAACACCTAGACTAAACGCTCATTTACGAGCGTTGATGATCTTAATGAAATCGGGCTTAAGTGAAGCACCTCCGACCAAGAAACCATCAATGTCAGGCTTCTTTCCCAATTCAACACAGTTTTCGGCAGTAACAGAACCTGCAATTCAAGTACTTAATTGCCAGACGTTCAGCCACAGCACTGAGCACTACTGAAATTCGTATTCCATCCATTACGCCAACAAGAAGGAGGCAACAGATTCCTAGAAGCTACCGAGCTCAAAAACAAGCTGTACCTTCACCTCTGTGGATCCTGGTCCCTGCCTGTGCGAGGCAGATGGGTTCGCAGCTGTAGTATTGTGCTTTTTTCGTAAAATTGCACGGGAACAGGGCATAAATATCCGGAACTCGTCTCCCGTCTCCGCGCGCGCTGCCGCACGACCAGCTGCACTACCTACCGGGTCTCAGGATATCTGTCAACCGCGAAGCCTTCCTTCTTCTTCCTCTTTCCTTCCTCCCTTCTTTTTCTTCCTTCCTTCTGATACCCCTCTTCCTTATTTCCTTTCCTCTAAATGCTTGGCCAGAAGATGCGATGAGAAAACATCTCTGGACCCTCGCAGCGAGAGAGCATCCGGTTGACAGATGCCTTGTAACCCTACCGCCAAACACACTACCTGTCTGCGCCCTCTCAATTATGGTTTTTCTCTACCTCTGACTGTGAATTCGCTGCGAGATTTTGGTATCGACGCCAGTGTTTTACCTGGAGAGCAGCGCGCGCGGTGTCGGAAAACGGCGTCTGGGTAACACTATCCTCCATCCCCGTTCCGGAACAATTCTAAGCGAAGAGACTATCCTGCCATCCCCGCTTCCCGGAATAATTCTAAGCGAAGAGACTGGCATGCTACTGCAGCTTCGGATCCATTCTTCTTAACACATTGACAGAAAAATCGGAAACGGGGTTAGACAAAACCGTCCTCTGTGGCGAGTGTACAGTTCGTCTTCCAGAAGGTTCTAACTGTATAGCTCACAAATCCTACCTCCATAGATGATGCGGGTCTTCTCGGCCACTTCAGGAGAAACCTTCTCTTTCAAAAACTCGCGAATCCAGAGGTGGACCTAGAGTAAAGAAGGGTTTTGTTGTGTCACATCATGTATCCATTATCGAGAAAATATAAAGAAAAGTTAGTAGATGGGTTACGAACCTCTTGTGCCTG